TGAACCCCTCTGAAGACCCCACCCACCCTTCCTCTCATTTTTTGCCCTGGCGCACCCCCACCCCCCCTGTCCTACCCTAGTGTTAAATGACCAGTACTTGGCCCAGCTATCGGCCACGGAAAAAATAGAGTAGAAACGTTTCTAGTTGGATGAATTTGGGCGCTCCTGTAGTGGCCCGTACGTTTCCTAAAATCACGTAGCGTTAGCAGGCGCTACTTTAGGAAGTACTGGTGGTTTAACCACCCAGGACCATCACCCATCACCATCTTGGCAGGTGACCTGACCAGTCAGCGGTTGCAGGCACAACCTATGAATAAGAAGCAAGAATTCAGACGTCAGTCGGCCTCCTGGAAGCAAGAGTCTTGGATGTGTACGGTAAAAATAAAGATGGCAAGTCACTGCTGGTCCAAGAAGGCACACACTTCAAGGTAGACCCACTGATGGATGTTTGTTTGTTTGTTTTATGGGTGCTCACAGGACCCACCCCTACCTACCTCATCTTTCTGCTTCCTTAGCGTAACCTCTGCTTCCTCATCTATGGGGGCACTTGTTTGGCCCTCTCAGCCTCTCAGGTATACCGGACAGCGGTTGCAGACACCACCGCTAGGCCATGACAAACCTCTCCCAGCCCTAGTTGAAGCACTATCGAGTGAGCCTTGTCGCATGGGCACTTCGGTCGCCAAGCACGATCGTTCTTTGTCTTTTTTCCTATGAGCACCAGCCCAGGTTTTTGGTCAGATAGCGAATATTCCTTAGAGCCTTTCCCTAGGCAGTGTCTACTGGTTCTACGTTGACCAAGGTCTTACCTGAGACGGCCCTTCTAAGTCCTTACCCAACCCGGGCGCCATGTTCGTAGCATAGCCTACTATTACTGCCGTATTAGGGGATGTGTTATTGTCCATGCTGAGGGGGCAAGGTTATCGATTCCGTAACCCACACCAGTTCGTCACAGGGCCGATTCCTGCCAGGGAAGACCTCGAGCCCATCCCTCCTTGCACCCTCAGTTGGTTATTATTAATCATGAGTTATGATCCCACGCCAGTCCGGAACCGGATGTTTCCACGGAGCCACCCTAGACAATGTCTTACCTGAGTCAACTCGGGACCAGTCTGGGCGTCTATTGGGATGATGTTACAGTTGGTATGAGTGCCACTCTGGGCCAGTCCAGAACCAAATGTTTCCACGGAGCCACCATAGGCAGTGTCCCTAAGCCAACTCTAGACCAGCCTGTGTGCCACTCCAGGCTAGCCCGGACCCGAATGTTTCCTCGGAGCCACCCGAGGCACCGTCTTACCTATGCCAACTCTAGACCAATCAGAGTACCTATTGGGATTATCTCATGGTTGGATTATATGGTCCAGGCTAGTCCGGAACCGAATGTTTCCACGGAGCCACCGTAGGCAGTGTCAGTACCTAAGCCAACTCTAGACTAGCATGTGTGCCACTCCAAACTAGTCCAGAACCGAATGTTCCCTCGGAGCCACCCCAGGCAGTGTCTTGCCTAAGCGAACTCTAGACCAGCCTGTGTACCTATCAGGTATAGACATGACGAACGAGCATGGTATGGAGGGGGCAGGGTTATCGGTCCGTAACCATCGCACCAGTTCGCCACAGGGCCGATTCCTGCCAGGGAAAACCTCCAGCCCATCCCCTCCTGCACCCCCCCTCCCCGGCTCGATTATGAGCTATGAGTATGTGTTATGTTTTATGTGTATTGGAGTTGAACCCGGGACCTTTTTTTTTTTTCTTTGTAACACATTTGAAATTTTGGGGCCATTATCCGGCTTCGGCTAGGAAAACAGGAAAACAATCAGTCAATTACCTATGAGAAACAACTGCAGTTCTGAAAAAACTGCCTATGATCTACCCAACCACAATCCAAACCTGGAAACAGAAGATCCTAACTAAAACCTCCTGCTGTTTACAACTCCCTTTCAACAAGCGAAAAAACATTAAGTCCAAGCGTTTAGTCCTCGTACCAGAACTCAGCTGATCTCATACCCCCCTATGCTAGGGTTACAGAGCAACACAAACTTGCCCAGTACCGACCAGCCTGGTTCAGACGACAAAGAGTCCTTCCTCCCTCGACACTCTCGATTAGCCACGCGCCCCTAATTTACAGGGAAAAAACCCCGGCATCAGCTACGTAGGACAAACTGGTTATGCCTTCCTCCTTCAACATAACTCCACAAACCTCTTGCTCCCCCAGGTTACAGAGCAAAAGCTCCAGCACCGGTCTGCGTCGTCCCAACTTTGTCCTTCTGACCTACTTACTTAGACAGACGTCCCTTCCCATGTTGACCCCCCCTTGCTTCCTCCCATCTTTCAGTTCTTACCTTCTCCTTCCCCCCTGACATTCTATCCACAATCTCCCTGATCATATGCAGAATCCCATCAGAAAACTTCTCAAGAACTTGAACTAGGAACATCTGAGAAGAGTTTAGTTGGCCTACAAACAGGAAGAGAGGAAAACAAAAATCACCAACAATCCAGCTCTCTCCTCGCACCACAGAGGAAAGACCGTAGCCCAGATGTTCAGACATCCCACCATAACTCACTAGGTCTCATACCCCCCCTGCTGGGATGACAGGGCAACACCAACTGCCCCAGTACCGACCGAGCTGATTCTGACGGTCAGGAAGTGTCTTCCTCCCTCGACAACTTCCTTAGCTAAAAAGCCCCCAAGGTTACAGGGTCACTGCCCCGGCTTCAGCTGTGTTGAACAGGATGGTTATGTCTTCCACCCTCGGCATAGCTCCAATAGTCTCAAGCTCCACCGCCGGTTACAGAGCACCTACGCTCCAGCACCGACCATTGTCACCCCAGCCCGGCCTTCTAATTAGACCTACCCCCTGAACACTAATCCCTCTTCTGCCCTCGTACCCACCACACTTGCCTAGCAACCTTAGGACCAATCTTCCTCGTCCTGCTATCCGGCGTTGAACCTAGGACCTCCAAGTTCCAATATCAGAGCTCTACCCACTGAGCTATTGAGGTCATTAGTCTGTAAAGGTGCTATGCCAGGCTCGGGGCAAGTACGTGGGGTGCAATCTACACCAATTGGAAATTGCGGGCTTGACAAAGTTGAACCCGCAACCTCCCTGTTGCAACACCAGAGCTCTGTCCACTGAGCTACCACGCAGTTGCTTTTACCAACTGGCCGTCTTGAAGGTAAGACGCCAAGCATGCCACAGGCACTATTTTTTAGGTTAAGCTCCAGCTCCCCACCAATGGAACGGAGCAAATTTCCAGGAGACAAAAAAAAGGCACTATCGTGGGGGCAATGGGAGTTGAACCCACGACCTCCTGAGTGCCGCTTGAACGCCTTACCAAATGTGTTTGTTTGTGTGTTTTTGACAAAACAACCCCCTGGGGCAATTTGAGATGCTGGCAGGAGCAGAGATATCTAGCTACTGCCAGGGAGGCTCCAATGCCGCTCCATGTATTGGTGGGGAGCTGCACCTGGTGGGAAACGGGGCCAGCGTCCCCTTTTACAAATCTCAGAAAGTATACACAGGGGAGTGCCTCTACAGCCTAGTAGACAAGCTATCGCTGATATTGTTAAGAGCACTAACCACTTCCCCCGCATGCCATCTTCTCGGTATGCAGTGTTGAGCTCGGCCACATTCATTCATCGAACCACCAGTACATCCGAGAAAGCAGATCGAGCCTCTCCTAAAAATTTGGGAAGCCATGGACTGTTCATAAAATGAATCGGCGGTTCATGGCCTCCTATTTATTAGGCGAGGTTCGATCTGCTTTTTCGGATGTACTGGTGGTTTGAGAGTTCAACTGGGACGTGACACTAGGGGGGTCCCTGGGGTAGGGTATCATCCTTGTATTAGGAGAGGGAGGGTGGGTTGTCGTATCTAAGTAGAGAAGGGTGGTTAGCTGCCATTAGAGTCTGCTTGATGTGACACAGGGAGGGAATGACCGCATGCGCATGACCCCTCCTGTGTCTGAGTCCTCCTTGAGAATTCAGAGGGTGCCTATAGTGAGCACCCCAAGGAAATGGGGCAGGGTAGGTCTAGATCTAAGATCTAGGGATCTAGGATGCACCGCTGTAGGGCTCGACTTGCGATAGATAACATTAGGACAGTAGAGAGAAAAAATGATGCCCCCTGAGGGGGACTGGTTCCTTGGGGTCTTCACAATCAATCTGATCTCTCAAATGGCCGAGTACGACCAAGGGCATCTCCTGAGGCCTCACATCCAACCACCTCTACTGTCTTCCCCTGAACATAATGCGCCCTGAAAATGAATCTAGACAAGCTGTACAGCCATAATCAGGAGGCGACAAGGCGTTGCATTCGGCCAAAGACGGTCTGCAAGTGTTTTTTTTTTTTTTTTAGGATCACCCACTTGAGAGAGCTTCCCCCAATTCTTCGCTCTCCCATTCACGTTTTGGTTTCTGTACTCTTTCGCTTGGTCCCTACTATACCCCCACGCACGTGCATGCACTGCATTGAATGTCTTTTACTGCATGTAAATCAACATCAAGAACTGCCAGGTTCGCCATGAAGCTTCATATGCGCATTCAGAAGATCCTTCGATTGCTGAGACGGCACCAGTTCAGGTTCTATTTTGGTTTATCAATTCAGCAGAGAGTCTCAGCAGTTAGAAAGACATTCGAATTCCGGAGGTGAAGAGAGAAGGGAAGGCTGTGAATGACCAACAAGTGTGTAATTGATTGCACACCACCTTCTTTTTTTCTTTAAACCACCACTACCTTCCCGGCTGGGAGGCTAAGTCGTTGAAGTAACATATCCCGCATTCTTCGGAGGCCGGCAGAGGCTGGGTGCTACAGGACAACAAAGGCTGGCGGTGCCAGCCAAAAGAAAACAAAATTGCCGCGTTGGCACTTCGCCCCCCCCGTTGGCACGTACTTTGACTCCGCCTCGGCAAAAAGAGGCTCGGAGGTTGTGGTGGCAGTTTAAAAAACGAAAAGAAAAGCACTAGCCCCTAACCTCATTACATATAAATTTGATCCCACCATGATTCAAATTCATGTCTGTTTATTAACAGTTAGATTTGTGTACACTATTCGGCCACACGGGCTGGGTAATTGCACACCATTCCCCCCCCTCCTTCAACAAACAGGTCCTTATGGCCGGTCCTGGCTGCTTTTCCATTCTAGGAAGCACCGGTGCGGTTCCTTTTCAACCAGCAGGTCGTAAGATCACAACAGACACGCTCACACACGCATCCTTCCGTTGGTCGAACCGCTCACACATGCATCATTCCGTCGGCCTAAGGATCCCTTGACAGCATATTGATCACTAAGAGAGGAATCATACGAGGGAGGCGAGCTGGCAATCACACACCTTTTATCTCTCGCACAACTAAAACTTTGTCCTTGGAAAATGGCATGGGAATTCATCGATGCAAATGTAAGTAGTTAAGAACTAGATAGTCGACACAGTAAAAAACCGACTTCCATCCAGACAAACACGACAACCTTGCGAGAAATTTGATCAAACATTTGTCTTCTGATTGCTTCCCTGCCTGCCACATGGCTGCTTGCTCAGGCATCTCCTTTAGGACATCGGTCAGGGAAAACAGTCATCTTCCATCCGCACAGAACTTGCTCACCATACCGTCTGATTGGATTGAAAACATCCATTTCCCACACGCACAATCCGCTTCCTTCTCTCTTAAACTCCGATCGGCGAGTTTCCGAAAAGGCTAGCAAGCAAGCAAACAACCCCCTTCCGCATCAACTACTATTCCCGAGCGCTCGGGAAGCTAGCTAGCTAGCTAGCTTACATTTCAAATTTTGTATCAACTCTGCTGCTGTCTCCGAGTTCCACCCTCAGCCTGTTCTGCATCCCTTTCGAGCAGCTGCACTCTTTCCAAAAACTCCTCGAGAGCAGATCCGGAGCTGACATCAACAAGATCAAACGGTGCTCCACTAGCGGCTCGTAAACTTGGATGAACGCCTTCCTGACTCTGTACCACACGTAACTCGACGCCCTCGTCAAGCGGAAGCCTGCCTCCGTTCGATCTATCATCGTTACGAACCTCCTCTTCTGCTGCCTCTGTGCACCCATTACCGTTCACTATCGCTTCACTCCGGCTGCGACTGCAGCTCTCAGGGTACAGCCGGTCACTCGACCGACTGTCACCATTACCGTGATCGGCAATGGCGGACTCATTACTCACATGTCCATCTCCATTAACTATGTTGTTGCTGTCAAGTGTGGCAGAACGCCCATTTGGCAGCGCAAGGGCAGTGGTCCTCGACAGCAGCTCGTCCCACGTAAAGAGAAGTGGAAGTGTTGCTCCTCCAAACGGATTGAAATCCAAAACCTTAACCTTGTTGCTTCTTGTAACGTAGGCATCGAATGTGTCTGCAAAAGAGTTTCACCCAACAATCCCAGCACACAAAACTACATCATTACTTTATTCAATTGCTGCAAGAGTTGTTGTTTCTTGTACCGTAGGCATCAAACGTGTCTGCAAAAGGCATCCGAGGCTGGCACTTTCCTCCAAAAAAAAAAAAAAAAAAAAAAAAAAAAAACACAAAAAAAAAGAAAGGGCATCAAATGTGTCATTGTGTCCGCAAAAGAGTTCACCCAACAGTGCCAACAAGCAAAACTACACCATTAATTTTTTCAATTGCTGGCATTTTGCAGCAAGAGTGCCATAAGCTGAAGCTGTCACGGACTATATCACGAGTTGATTCAATTGCGGCAAGACTCAGCAAGGGTGCCATAACGTGCAGCTGTCCTTTTTTTTTTTTTTTTTTTTTTTTTNTTTTTTTTTTTTTTTTTTTTTTTTTTTTAGAGGTTACTCGATTTATGCATGTCATCCTTGCGCAGGGGCCATGCTAACCTTCTCTGCATCGTTCCAATTTTAACAGATGTCATTTTGATTAGCCAAGACTCGAGAGCTCCATAACTCAAATCGAGTTTGACAGCACCACTGGACAACGACGGTACAGCAACAACAATTTATCCCCCAAAAAAAAAAAAAAAACATTATCCGGTTTCAAACGTCAATCAGGACTGTTTTAAATTTTATTCCAGTGTATTCAATCACCAACAGAAACATTAATCCACATAAACAAATGTCAATCTCAAACAGATGTGACTCCAACGGAAAAAAAGGGGGTGCAACCAAACAGACATGCTCCAATGAAAAGCGAGCGCGATGAAAAAAGAACGGAAACCAGTGACAAGGAGCAGTGCAGCAAAAGGAAGGAAGGATTGCATGGCCATTTCAGGGGTCTGGCAGAAAATATTGGACCTTTCTTGAAGTTTTTTCAAGTCCTAGGCTACCATCTTTGCCAGGACAGAACATACGTGGCTATTATCGCTGTATCTAGACTGAAAGTTGCCCCCAAAACAGGCATAATGACCGTAAGTTCTATCTGGGGGAAGACGGTCGTTTTCACCTTCACTTTTACCCTTCCAGCACATCCAGCTGCATGCCCTACCATCTTCACCCAAATAGAACGCCCGGGCTGCATTTGGCACAACTTTCAGTCCAGATGCAGCGATACTGACCAGGCATTTTATTCGGATGAAGATGGTAGGAGGAGGATGAACCATGGCATCCATTGGGAATTGCCACCTCATTACCCCATCATTTATTTGTGTGCGTGCATAAGAGGATGTCTGCCCCCCGGATAGAATGCGTATATTGCATTGGTACAACGCCTGTATTCACCCACGTTCTCGTGCTAGGTACAACCGCCAAATGACCACTGGTTTTCTTTGCGGAAAGTTAAAACACATTGAAGAAGAATAACACAGGTACGCGCGTGGAGAATCTCCTTCAGTAGCTACAGAGCAATACAGGTGGTTATTCTGCATCAGTTGGTGTCTTCGAATTCTCTCTCTCTCTCTTTTTTTTTTTTTTTTTTTTTTCCAAAAGGGGAACGACCTTGAGATATCATCAAACGGGCCGGCCCTAGGTAATTCAGAATTGTACTATTTTACTCATCTGCTTCCAGTGGGAGTTCGAACTCGGGGTCTGTATTTCAAAAATTGGTCAGGGGAGGTGTACCAACTGAGCTAGGCCAGTTGATTAGTGGCTTCACATTCAAAGCCGGGTCGTTCTTTTTCTCTGTTTTATTAATTTGCAGTGCAACGAGATTGAGAGTGAGACAGGCTGCTCGTATCACCTCGTCTAGTATGAAAGGACTAGTTGGAATGCACCTGGTCCAGAAAGCGTCTGAATGCATACTCTTATGGCTTGGGAAGAAGGGAGGATGGTGGGAAGATCCTAAAGAAACTTACAATCAGGATCATCGAAGGCACCACTCACAGTCTCCTCAAAGAAGTCAACCAGCAAATCCCGCATCTGGTATCGTCTCTCAAGGAGTGTTGGATACAAACTCGTAACCTCTCTCTGGCTGATAGCTGCACACAGTGAAAGACACATTACTCAAGTCAAACATCCACTCTATCATCCTGAATCATCCTAAATCATCCTGAATCATCCTAAATCATCCTAAATGATCCTCAATCATCCCAAATTATCATCAATGATCATCAATCATCAATGTATTTCCATTATAAGGGACGCTGGGCCCGGTTCCCAGCACGTGCTGCTCCCCACGAATAGATTGGAGCAATTAAAAAAAAAAAAAAAAAAAAAAAGCCAGTCAGCCCACAAGAAGATATAAGCATTCTTTAACCTTCATTTGCATTCTCTCCAACTCAGCATCTCGACGGGGCTACGGAATAGCGGCTAGGACTTAGCGGCTACCGTGTTCACCGAAATAGAATGCCCCATCATTATTGCTGCATCTGGACTGAAAGTTGCCACAAATACAGCAATAATGACCGACCGTTGTATTCAGGTGAAGACGGTAGGGTTTAGCGGCAAGGCTGTAGCCTCGTAGGGGATAGGGTTTAGGGGCGGGGTTTTCGGGCCTACAGTTTCCAACTTTCCAGCCTTAGGGGCGTAAGGGTTTAGGTTTAGGGGCTATTGTTTTCAGGCTGGGGTTTATGGCCACGGCTTATGGGATAGGGTTTAAAGTTAAAACACTAGGATTTATGGGGCTAGGGTTTACAACTTTACAGGCTAGTGTTCAGGGGCTACCGTCTTCCCCCAAACATAACGCACACCCTGATAGTGAATGTATACAAGTCATATTTCTGGTCAGGGACGGCCAAAACAAGGGTGTGTTGTGTTTGGCGGAAGACGGTAGGATTTCCTGCCCGATAGGCGGGATAACTTAACAACAAACCACATCCTTTCTGCTATGACAGCAAGTTGAATAGCACGATGATATGACCATATCTACTCCCAATATCTACTCCCAAATTGGCACAGCTGGACCAGTCGGTCCCTGTCAACCCTTAAACCCATGACCTGCAGTTCAATAAGATAGGCCAAGAATAGAGTCAGTCTGATCCGAAACTGGGACTCAGCTATAATAGTCACAGCACACGTAGAAATTTAGATTCAGGGTGAGGCCTGGGGACCTCTTTTCACATAGTAAGCGAGTCCGTAAGACCTTCTGCAATTCAGAACGTGTGAGGTTGCTCAACAGCATCATTCCCCCCATCTCTGCAAAAACATGATTGTCACTAATTGACTCATTGACTCTAAATCATACTTTCGATAGGAGCCATCTATGCCCATTTGATGGAATGCCGCTTGTTGTAGCAAGATCAGTGCAATCAGGCACCTGCAACATAGTGGGAAGGTGACATCACACCATAGCTAAGAGGGCACATGATGG